CGTATTATATATTTAATTTTTTAATTATATTTTGTTTCTCTGGGCCGCATTGGAAGAAGTCAAGGAGTGGCCCAAAACTCCTTGACTTCTTCCAATGCGGCCCAGAGAAACAAAAAGGTTGGACACCCCTGCTATAGATGGAATCACTTTGAATTACACCTAGTAATAAAAATGTTTTATTTATGTTAAAATTATTTTACTGTAAAAAATGAATGTAACTGTATGACATTTATCTAATTTAGTTTAAAGATAAAAAAACTAAAACTTGCCAAAATAGAATAAAAATAATTTGGTACCATATGATTCTAGTTTACACGGGTTTCAGTATAATGAGAAAAATTAACCATTAATTCCAAATTAAATTTTAGGAATATCTAAATTAAAAATTAATTATTTATAATTATTAAATTTAATACAAGATGGCAGCATAATTGCCTACCTCTAGTCAAATTAATTAATTAATTTCTATATTTAATTATAGCTTTTATATAGCCCAAAAGTTTGGCATATCCTTTGGCATGTTTATCAGACATATTATCTGTAATTTTTTTTTTGTTTTCTGCAAATCAAATTTGCATTTTAGGTTGGCTCATTCTGTGTCAGAAGATGAAGAGANCTAGACCATCACTGACGCGTAATTGACTGATTGCCCCTGGATGTCGGCTTCTTACAGAAACACAGATTCCCTATCATCAAATGTCAAGGCATGCCACTGCGTCTCCGCCCTATTGGCACTAACTTGTAAGAGGGCCTCTTTTAGCAAGCCCATTATGGGTTCGGCCCGTTGGTGAAAAACGGGGCCCTGACATATCTGCATGGACAACCTCCAGAAAAAATTTCAGTGGATTTTATTGGCCCGTCCGGATTTGAACCCAAGTCCTTCAGAGCGGTAGACTGCATCCGGACGTCTACCTATGTGGGTATTACCTTATTTGGGACGTACTGTGCCATTTATGACAATAAATCGAAAAGCACATATGAAAACACAATTAAATTTGAAGTAAACTGTTAAAAGTTAATCATTAATGAACAAGGATTTAATTCAAGTCTATCTGAGGATCACAGATTGAGAAACGCTGTCCTATAACAATATAGAAATGGAGATAATTCATTATTTGTTATAATTCTTTTAATATAAACATTTTGCAAACAATTTCACAAAAACAATTATTGCAAACATTTTGCAAGCTTAAAAGAAATATTGGTTAAAGAGTTTTTATTAATGATACAGTATTCATATTCAAAAGATATCGCATATATAAAAATTAAATTAATAAAATTATTAGTAGAATGAATTGGATTGAAAGTAATAGATTAAAGGTGGAAAAAAATAATAATGATTTTTGATTTTGATTGCATCTCTTCGCAAATGTCATTACTCAAGGCAGCATCCAGAATTTACTTTTTAAGCCTCATTTATTTACTTATTTATTTTTTTAATGTTTAAACGTTTGACTCTCTGCCCTGTGGGCAGTAAGAGAGTCTTTTTCCATACCCATAATGAGTTCTCCATACTCACAATGAGACGGCTGGCTGTTGAGACTTAACCAAATGTATCCAGGATAGACTATCCACGAAATATTCCCGGACAGTTGCGCTCCCAGATTCTATTCTGGGTCCTAAGGAGCAGTTAACCGGCTCGACCATCTAACTGTCAAAAAGTCATGTACCTGTTTTTTGACAATATTTATAAGCGAATTTTTGATAACCGATAAACAAAAGTATTGTAATGTAATTTAATTTATAATTTTATAGGTTTTGGGATATGTTGATTCTGATAATATTTACAATTTCCTTAAGTGGCATTACGATACGTATTTTATAGTCTCAAATGCAAATAAAATTGAAAATGCATTGTTACACTCATACATGAGACCTCACAATTCTGAACTTCTGCCTTTGAACTAACGGCAACTCTATGACAGTTTTATATACCATGCTGCTGTTTGTGCTTGCATCATCATACATTCCTGTTCCTGACGGATCATTAGGAATGTATGATGATGCATGACTGTTCCTGGATTCCCATCTTTCACGGGAACGAAGGCGCTTTAAGTGACGAACACGGCGAAAGATTCCATTAGGAATTAGAAAGCCATTATCAAGGCAGATTGAAGTTTAAGTATGCTGACTGACTAATGTTGGACTCGTGTTGGACTAATGCCTAGCCGAACTCATAATGTTCTTGCTAAATAAAAGCCCATAGAATGCTGAGAGGTTTTAAAGAAAGGCTAATAAATAGGTTTATAATAACGAATTCGTACGTATATAATACAACTTTTGTTAAATCCGGGGTAACAAGAAGATAAAACACACAGGAATGAATCCAAGTAGCCTTTATTTCGTCGATAGCACGAGCATACAACAACGGGTCAGACTAACCGAAAAGGGTACCAAAAATGTTTTCCAATCACATTTTATCTTTTAACGCCCTTGGCCGCGACATATACTTTTAGCCGATACACTACAACTTTTTTCAGTGTTTCACGTAGACAATGTCGCGACCCCCCTTCTCATCGCATACAACGATGTACTTTTCAAACTCCTCCACGTATACGTAATTAATGACGTGCCTTATCAAAATCATTTTTTGAAAAAAAAAGATAACTTTTATATATCAACAAATATTAATTATGGTCATATAATTATAATGTAACATATATTATTTTATCTTAGGTACAGAAGAAAATTTAAAACGTTAGCAATTTCAACATCTCGGTATCAGTTTTCAAAATCAAATCACGTGACATCCACATCCATATCCGGCGAGAAATTGGAAACGATTCAATATGTTCTGATCGCGTAACGCAACGTGGTATGTCTTTCTTCTTCCCGCGATCGATTTCAGTTATGTGGGTTACGACGCTAGGAATTGTAATACACATAATATTTTTATCATCTGTATTCGATATATATTTTAAATCACCAATTATTCATGGATTGAGCCCTCATTACATACCATTGCCTCCTCCCGCGAAAAGAGTTGTTTTGTTTGTTGCTGATGGACTGAGAGCAGACAAATTGCTAGAACTTAATGAGAAAGAAGAAAGCAGAGCACCTTATTTGAGGTAAAATTATGGTATTTTCAATGTCTTGCAATGAAAATAATAGCAAATAACGTTATTTATAATGTGTTTTTTTTTATAGTTTGCTTAGTAATGCTAACATAACTAATATCCTTTGACAAATTATAAATTAAGCAAATTCATAATTAGATACTAATTATTCTGAACAAATTATATTTTATGTTAACCATAAATAAAGTTTGTATAACAGAAAATACATTGTCTCTCATAAAACAAATAAAATGATCATTTGTAAGGTGATGCTTCTATATAAAATACATTTGTTATATAAAATGTTTATTTTTAATTTTAAAGATAGATTAATTTTCTGTATTTGTTATAATGTACAAAAAATGTAAAAAAATAGAAATAATCTGTTTTTCTTCTTTTTTCTGTGTATTTCATATAGTAGTACAGTACAATAGCATGAAATTAAATGTCTTTGTTATATAATACATAATAAAGATATGTTAAAGATGGAATAGGATGAAAGTATTGTTCATAGTAAAAAATTTCCTGGAATCTGAGATCTAATGAGACATAGCAATTTTTCTGATCTCTGTCATGTCAAGTAAAATTGGTTATTTAGTTGTTTAATCATGTGTTGACATGTTAATGATTTAACTATTTCTCATGTTTTGTTAAAAAATATGAATTTTTAAAAATAATATCAGATAAAATTATTGTTTAAAATTAACAAATTTTTTTACATATTAATACATTTTTACTGAAGTTTTAGAGAAATTTTTGAAATATATAGGTTATATTCAAGTTTGTTTGCAATTTTTTTAATTGTGTAGTCACATTACTGGTATTTATTAATTACAGCAATTTCATAATTATATAATTAAAGTAAAATCTTACTATAAGGAGTATTTATTTATTTATTAAAAATCTTGTAATTAAAAACAAAAATCAGAGATTAAATTACTACTATAAAATCATTTAAACATTTTGTTTATTAATTCTTTGTTGACTAATAGGTCATATTTAAAATCTCTGATTTATATGAAATGCATTTCAAATGTCATAATTATCTTGACATTCCTCTCTGAAGTGAAATTATGACATTTGATATGCATTTCACATAGATCATAATCAAAATCTCTGGTTTATCAGTCAAGAAGGAATCAAAAAAAAAATTATGACAATGAAGTATAGAAGGTAGTGATTAGGTTAGTTTTGAAATAACCACATTTATAAATTCTTCATGTATGTTTAAATAGAAATTATATGTTAGGCTATATCCCTCATCACCTGGCTGTTTTATGGGCCTAGAAAAAAGGCCCTCTTAGAGCCCATAGGGCAAAAAAAAAATTGGAAAAAATTTATAAAATAAATAAGTATTTAATATTGTATCAGTTCTACTTTTACATATCATTTAAAATATGATATTAATATTATTAGATGGGATAAATACTTGCTTAATAGCTGCAACTTTTTATGATAAAATATATCAGTATCACTTTTATGGTTTTTTAAATATAACTTGTCATTTTATTATGCACTAATAATCTTTTCAATTCACTAATCATTTAAAACGTAAAGAATTTAAAAATATATATATATTTCTAAGCCTTTGAAAATTTAAAAATATTTTTATTATAAAAAATTTTACTGAATTCTCTGTTTGTTAATTATGCAAAGTAAGCAAATTATACTGTACATCAAGTTTATTTATTTTGATAAATTTTAATAATAAAGATAATCTATTTTTTAGTTTATCTCTGAAGATGAATCATTAAATCTTAGAACATTAGTAAAAAAAAGACATCTTTTTTTATTTCTTTGGATTTAATTATTACTGAGAATTTTATTACTGTATTTTTTAAATAATTTAATTTTATTGATTCATTAAAGTTTTTCTCCGGAATACATTTGTAAATAACAATATAAATACATCAGATATAAACATAGAAACTACTACATTTAGCCTACAATATCATAAGAAACATAACTATTATTTATTTTACATAGTTAAATGTAGGCATGAAGTGTAATTCATTTTATAACTATTATTTGAAGTAATGTCATGAAATGTGTTTTATAAAATACACTATTGAATAAAACTGTTAAATCTCTCAAATTTTATTAAATAATCATTTAAGCTGTTTTTATGATAATTAAAACATGTAACTAATTATTTTTACATAAATCTAATTCATAATCACTATTTGAAAATAAATACCTGTATTCAGTAATTTGATATAAATATCAGTTATATAATTTTTCTGATAAAATGGATTCTAATTGCTGCATAAACATATTTGATAGATAAGTTATTCAACTCATATAATATATACTAATGTTAAGATTTTTATAGCTGATAAAATTATATATTAAAAAA